AGACATGATGGCCATGTATAAATATGTGGAAGGAAGTCACAGGGAGGAGGGAGCAAGCTTGTGTTCTGCTGCCCTGGAGACTGGGACGAAGAACAATGACTCCAAACTACAGGAAAGTAGATTCCATCTGAACATGAGGAAGAACTTCCTGACTGTGAAAGTTGTTCAGCAGTGGAGCTCTCTGTCCCGGAGTGTGGTGGAAGGTTTTAAGCAGAGGCTGGATGGCCATCTATTGGGGGTGCTTTGGATGCGATTTTCTGCTTCTTGGCAGGGGGTTGGACTGGATGGCCCAGGAGGCCTCTTCCAACTCTATAATTCTATGATTCTATGGCTCTGATTCTATTATTCTCTATAGCAATTATCTAAATGAGGAGAAAAATGCTGCTATTAAATCTCCCATTTGTAACATTGGTTGCAACAAATAATGTTCTGGATATCACAGCGCAAGAAAAATATCAACAAGCTAGAATGCGTCTAGAGAAGGGCAATCAAGGTGACTAAAAGTCTGCAAAACAAATCTTCTGAATTGCGTATGTTGAGCTTGGAGAAGACTGAGAGGTGACACGGTTGCTGTTTTTAAATATCTGAAGAGAAAACATGTAGAATATGAATTAAGCTTGTTTTCTGCTGCTCCAGAGATTAGAACATGAACCAGTGGATTCAAATTACAAGAAAAGAGATCCCACTTAAACTTCAGGAAGAATGATTTTATGGTAAGAGCTGATTGATTCTGAGACTGGTGGGCTCATCTTTTGGGATCTTTAAACAGGTTGGGTGGGCAAATTTCCTGAGTGCTTTCGTTGTATTTTCCTGCACGGCAGAGGTTTGTCTGTTGCAATCCCTTTCAGTTCAAAGAGTCTATGATTCTATAGTCTATAGTGGCAGTGAGAATAAAAGGAAATCAAAAGTGAAAGCCTGATGAAAGCCTACACACACATAAATAGTCCTGAGTTTGAGAACATTTGCTTCCAGGAAAGTACATACAGGATTGCACCATCAGAAGAAAGAATTCTCATTCTTCTGCTCTTGTTGGACAAAACCTACAGGTTTGTACACTGGAAAACATATTAGAGTGGGGGAAATCCAAGTGGTACATTTGAAGGCTTAGAAGTCAAAAGGCATCTGGATGACATATACAATTAAGGAAGAACTAATATGATATCAAGCTTTTCCTGCTTTTCCTGTGGATTATGTTGTCTACAGCAGTGGCAATGCTTCCTCTCCTGCTATTATCTTCACTAAAATAAGCCAAATATTTTGCACAAGGAGAATATAAAAACACCTAATACTTACAAATTAAGTAAGTTTGTGAGAAAGAAACAAAATATAAGCTTAAGAAGAGAATTTTGGTTTAGATTTGAAATTATCCCACTGATAAAGATTGAACAATGGAACAAATGTCACTATTTATCTGCAATGAATACAGCTGGGTGTAATCTAGGGGTGGATAACTGTGGTAAGATCCTATTTTAGCATCAATGCTAATGTTTACACAGTCACATTTTCAGCTGAAAAGTAGTAGGAAAATGTGCCCTTCTTCTGCTTTGCATTTCCTATATTTTCAAATTATTTTTGGATGGGGGTTGATAGACAGTGAAGTGAGAAAATAGGGAAACTATATAACATTTTGGCACATTTTTGCATTATTTTGGCATTTACATCGGAACAAAAAAAACAACAAAAGTTTGCTCTAGGCAATGTCAGGCTATATGCTAATCAAGGTGGTCAGTTGAAACATTCACACCTAGCTCCAGCAGACAAGAGTCCTTTGTCTCACCCTGGTCATTCCACAGATATATAAACCCTTTTTTCTAGTTCCAACAGACCTCAATACCTCTGAGGATGCTTACCATAGATGCAGGTGAAATGTCAGGAGAGAATGCCTCTAGACCATGGCCACATAGCCCGAAAAAACCTACAGCAACCCAAAAAAAGCCCTTAATATACTGTGGAGTGATGAGGGTTGTGATTGGCTAATGAGCCACACTTTCCCCAACCCTAGTGCTAACTACTGTGAAGCAGGAGGAGTGAAACAAGGTCTGCACAAAGCAGGTAAAATAATATCCAAATGTTTCTTCAAAATCATCACAGTTATTTTTTTTTAATTTGACTTTATTCTAAGTCATGCCTGAAATGTCAAGGTCCTCCAGAGCATAAACGGTCTGATGTCTTGCTCGATTTTTCTGTCATAGAATCATAAAGTTGGAAGAGACCACATGGGCCCTCTAGTCCAACCCCTTGCCATGCAGGAAAAGTACAATCAAGCAACCCCAAATAGATGGTCATTGAGCCTCCAAGGAAGGAGCTTCCGCCACACTCCAAGGAAGAGAGCTCTTCCTAATGTTCAGGTGGAATCTCCTTTTCTGTAATTTGAATCCACTGCTCCGAGTCCTAGTCTCCAGGGCAGCAAAAAACAAGCCTGCTTCCTCTTCCTTATGACAGCCTTTCAAATAATGAAACATGGTGATTGTGTCTCCTCTCTCAACCTTCTCTTCTGCTGGCTAAACATACCCAGCTCTTTAAGCTGCTCCTCATGTGGCATGGTCTCCAGACCTTTGATTATTTTAGTCACCCTCCTCTGGTCATGTTCCAGCTTTCCTTCTTAACCCGTTCTTAAAATCACCATGCCAGCTAGAACCACCATTCTTCTCATGTTTGACTAAGTGGGAAAAGAATGCCTCAGATCGTAATAGTAAATATTTGGTTTTGGGACCCACAAAGTCATGTGGTGGGGTGGGGTGGGTGATGGATGTATGCACAGGCACACATGCCAAAGCTATACTGCAAGCAAGGGACTGGTGCCTACACAATAAATAAGAGGAAGAGGAGTATCAAATATTTATTTGTTATTGTTTGCCTTCAAGTTGTTTTTGTCTTATGACAACTCTTAAGGTGATCCTACCACAGTGTTTTACAGGCTGGGGTTGTGAGGCTTTTCCACAGTCACCCAGTGGATTCTCCTGGCCCAGCAAGAATTCAAACCCAAGTCTTCAAAGTCATAGTCCAACACTCAAACCAACTAAGCTAAAAGATGTCTGAAAACAGTTCCTGTCTGTTAGGCTCCAGCAACTGCAGGGGCTTTGCAAGTTCTGCTTTGCACTATAAACAATGTTCCTTCAAGAAGGCAATCAGTTGAGGCAAAAACAAACACACACACACCCCTGCCTACCCAAGACAAAAGAACATGGTGCAGCACCAGTGGTATCCTGTTTTCAAAAAGTACCACTACATCTTTTAAGCTCAAACCTTAAAATGAGCTCATTTCAAAAAAAGAACTGGGGTTTTTGCAATTCTGTAAATTACATGCAAACACTTCCATTCAATGTGATGTCCCTGATTGCAATTAGTTTTTAGAGCCCCTCCTTGCCTTAAATGCCATTCACTCCTACTATTCAATGCTGCATTGTTCTTAGCCTCTACCTTGGTTGCTTTCTTAGCTCTATAAAGCTTCTGGGAATTAGATGGAAGCTGAAAAGTCTGCTACTTCCAGAAAGGACTATTTCAGCCATCTACACTGGACATACAATCCTGGCCCTCCTGATACAACTGCCCATTTTGAAAACCACTGAAATTACCAAAAAAAATGTACCTTGGGTGGCACAAATCAGAAAGACAAAACAGGCTAATAAATCTTCATAACCATAATAGAGATATCCAAAAGAGTTCTAGAGGAATGCAATGCTTTAGAAAACTGGCAAATATGGTTTGTCTGTTGTAATATATGGGAGAACCAGAACTCAATGTGCTCTTCCATTCTTCATTTGTACAGTATTTGCACTCATATTTTGCAAACACAGTTGGCAAATAGTGGTGAACTTAGAAGAGGAAAAAATGGGAGATGAAAGTGAATATTTGAGTATTTCAGTTTGTAACACATCATACAATCAGATGACAGAAGAAAACAGAAAATACTAGGGGGAAAATTTGATAAAGACATATAACTTTCTGAGCTAGAAGACTTCTAATCTTGGAGGAACAAAAAGGTCCTGATGCAGTTTACTCTTTCCCTAGTAAATACTGATGGTTTCTACCTCAAGGCATCAAGGAAGTGCATGCTTTTCACAGAAACTGGTTGCCTATTTCAGCAGAGGTTTGTAACTTGCTTTTAGAATGATATATGAAGTAGTGCTTTAAACATCATGATGTGTAGCTGCGAATCAAAATTATATTACTGTTCATTTCCCATTGACAGGAAAACACAAATAACTGTAAATCAGAATCCTTTGAACTGCCAGCATTTCTCCTTTTAAATATCTACCTTGAAGAAAGGTTCTACTCACTTCCATCTTTTCTAATCTATTACTATCACCTGTCTTGGTACAGTTCCTGCATTAAAAGAGGTTTGGTGAAATGTATACAACTCTCATCTCTCAGGGTCTGGTGCCCCCTTGTGGCCTTCTGTTTACTTCTTTAAAACCAAGGCAGCAAAAGAGAATTATTTTTATTTTCACCTTGTCTGGCGACAGTTCACACTTGCTAGCAGCCTTTGGGAGTACAAAGAGCTACCATTGTGCTCTCAGGTAGATATCCAAAAATACTGTTTGCATCTTACATTAGATGTACAGAACCAGAACATCTGGAGCAGATTTCCCAGGTAAATAAGAGAAAATGCAACTAATAGAAGGTTCATGAAGAAGCCAAACAGATAGGTTGGGACACCTCTATAATCTACTATACTGTCAAATATATCTGAGTCTCAATGAGTAACAGGATGCTCTTGACAGCCAGTACTTATGGATCAAGCATTTAAGTACTGGAAACTGGCTAAGAAGATACTCCTTTGCATATTAATTAATCAGTTAATTAATTAACTCTGTTTGTATCCCGCCTTTCTCTACCCCGAAGGGGACTCAAGGTAGTTTTACATATTGATACCCCTTTGCAACCCAAATCATCCCTCAACATTCCCTACGCTGTCTGTGGTTGCTAGAGTTTGTAGTACTGTATTTGCAATCCCCATATTCCAAAGTGAAGTTACACCCTTTCCATTCACAATTTACCATAGAACTGGCACGCCACATCAACAAGGTCACTGCGCTCTTGTGCTGTTTCAGCAAATTAATGGCTGGATGTGCTATTTTCCGATATTGGCTCTCAAAAGCAATGAAGATTGGCCTGTGGGACAGTTCCAGCAGTCTCCAAAGACCTTCCCTGCAAAAACAGACACCTTGTTTAGAGAATTATAAGCCAAATTTTTGTTTTCTCCTCCAGAGCTCCAGTTCAATTCCTAGGGATCCAATCAAACTACAGGAAGGGCTTTGTACTGGATCCTGTTACCCACAATACATATATGAGAAATAGTATTACTTTTACTGGCAATCAAACTATTCAGAATTTATTGGAGGAGTAAAACAATAGATTCTTCAACATCACATTTCTTTCAATACATGAGATATATTTTGGGTGCTATAATACAGCAGATCTGCCAGAAGCTACAGTATGTGACTGTATTCAGAGGTTATATTGTTTTACCAAACAACAATAGTTTTGAAGATAAATAACAAACCACATGGTCACAATCAGCTCAACAGGAAATGCACTAAATTCTCAGACTGTGGGATGCGTGATCCCTTCAAATGAGGATCAAGCACACTCTGGAATCTTGGTTTCCAAGGTTTGCTCAAGCTGTAGTAAAATTTATTTATTTATTTATTTATTTTACAGTATTTGTATACCTTTTTTCTCACCCCTAGGGGGACTCAAAGCGGTTTACATGCAAGTCATGGCAAAAATTCTATGCCAGTACAAACAATTACAATTATACACTACAATTAAGCATAAATCAAATTAAAACAATGCATCCATAAGCAATAAAACAATAATTAAAACAATAAAATGCATATTGACAAACCATTATATGTTATTTTAACCTATGCAGCTAAGATGACAGAAGATATATAGCTGTATTTCAAACTATACTTTGGCGGATAAGAAATTTGTTGGGGCGTTGTGTCATTTCCAGGCTGTATGGCCTTGTTCTAGCAGCATTTTCTCCTGATTTTTTGTTTGTATCTCTGGCTGGCACCTTAAGAGCATCTGCCAACCACAGATGCAGGCAAAAGTCAGGAGAAAATGCCGCTAGAACAGGGTCATACAGCCAGGAAACATCAGTGATTCTGGCCATGAAAGCCTTTGACAATACAAGGATGTTGTTTCTTACTAGTAGCCCATTTACCTGAAATTATTGTTACACCACTCCTGTTCCAGGTATGCATTAGAGAGAACCACAATGAGACGCCGGCACCGGCTGACATTCATGATCAGATCTGCAGAGGGTTCTGAAAAAAAACAGAGGAAAGGTGAGCCTCTTTTGTGAGGATGCCTGCCCCTCAGTCCACTGCCGTTTCAGTATTCATTCAGCTCCTGTGCAGGCCTAGATTTGCCTTGAAGTCACCAGCTCCATCTGGAGGAAAAGACTCAGTCTTATAAGTAACAGAAGTAACATTAACCCACTGTCATTAGAACTTTATCATCCTTCAAATGACACTGTTTAATTTGCATAAAATATATGCCACTGGCTCCTGTAGATGAACCAAGTTTCATGTTATTGTAATACAACTTTCAATATCACTACTCCATTTTCAAATTGCTGGGCTTTAAAAAATAATTATTATAATTACAGGAGTCATACAAGGCATAGTACAGATATGTTTTTAATCAGCTGGTGGAAGGTTTGAAGCCTATTTCCACAGCACTGCAGTGTACTTTCAAGTAGACAATACAAATACTGAAGAGACATTAATTTTGCAGTGCATCTCCTCTGAACTAGCAGTGTCCATTACAGGCATAATTATGATCCAACCTCTTTTCCCTGAGGATCCTTCTCCCCTTCATTTCTGCTAACACTAATTCATGCTGCTGGAAAGCAACACAAACTTTTGGCTCACTCTGCTTTGTAGATGTCTTTGCAAGACTACATGGAAACTAAGGGGGAAGCTGCATCTCCTACAATACTGCAGCTGGAAAAAATGTAAATGACCCAGGGAACAGTCTGAAAGCATGAGGCCTAGCTAGACTGCTGATACCAGAATAAAATTGATCTGATGAAGTATCTGAAAAAAAGACTACCTGGGACTCCCTTAAATCTTAAAATAAATGGTCAAATAGGGCCTGATCACTTGGAGTTATGGGGAACATCAGAAGGCCAGCAATATACATACTGATTGATTAATCAATTATCATTTGATGCATGCATATATGCACATGCACACAATATATGTGTGTGTGAAGAAAAAACACACACACATATACATCTTATTTGTACACATTCTAAGAAAAAAGATTAATGAAATTGCCAAAAGACAACGCAAATCATGCAAAGCCATGCTTCCTGACATCCATAATGGTGTCCTAAATGAACACGTCGACTTGAATTCTGGTATCTCAATTTGATACAGCAGTGTGTTAAATTTTCATATTTTCTGGTTCCCCTAAAAACTGTACACTGGTTGAGGAGATGCTGATCACCAAAAAACACAGTCTTGTCCTGAAGATGGAGACCAACCTGAGTTGGGCAGAATGTCCTTATCATCTATGAAGAGTTTGTAGCCATGGCGATTCTCCAGGTGTGGTTTCACTATAAAGTTCACAAACTTTCTGTCATCTGTTGAGTTAGCGTAAGACACATAGGCATCGTAGAGTTTTCCATCTATGCAGAAAGTACCAAGGAAAGAATTGTAATGTATTATACCAGGAAACTTGACTTTAAAAAATGGTGCTGACCACACATAATGTGGACAATCTCTCCTAGAAGAAGTCTGGCTTTGACGTTTTAGCTTGGAATCAGATTCTACATAAGTACACAACACATCTGAGAAAATTAGTCCAGAGGTTTTTCAATTCAGAATGAAAACATTCCAAAATAAAATGAACTATATACACACTCCTATTTTGGAGAAGCCAAAAGAGACCGGCTTCATTACAGCATATGGATGCCACCATTTTTTAAATTATTTACTAAAATATTTATATCCCACCTTCTGTCTAGAGATCTTGGGATGGCATACAATAAAAATTAACACATTTTAAACAATAGAAAAATAATTTTGAAATGCCAGTATGGTGTGATAGTTCCAGTGTCGGACTATGATTTTGGAGGCCAGAGTGTGAATATCTGTTGGGCCATGGAAATCCTGTGAATGAATCTGGGCAAGTCACATTTCCTCAACCTCAGAGGAAGGCAATGACAAACACCCTCTGAACAAATCTTGCCAAGAAAACCCTAAGATTTACCTTAGATTCCCCATAAGTTATAAACAACTGTAAAGTACATAGCAACAAAAACATAAACAATTTAAATTTAAAAATAAATTCTAACTAAATAAAATATTGTAAAACCAGTTAAAATCACGTACATGCAAATCCTGACTCATTTCAACATGCTCCTAAAATGTTACATATTCTTGAGTTAAAGGGGAAAGTGGCCATCAACCCTCTACCTCAACACTTACCATTAATTTCCAGTTCTCCGTAACGGTTCCGATACCATAGCAGTGCATTCAGACGGCACTTTGCATATATCACAATGGTGAACAGAAGCAATGCCACAATGACAAGAGCAGCAAGGACAGCACCCAGGTGCTCAGCAGTCTCTGTTGTAATGGGAAAAGGCACTTTACACAACATTAAGAACAAACAGCATACAACCAAGACAAAAAGAGGAGCCAGGTTTCTGATTTCAAAAAGATAGGTCTATTGATTAACAACAAGAGCAATAAACTGTTACGTAATTCCTGAATAAAGGCCAACCATCAAGATAGTACAATATCTTTCAGTATTAGTAAATATGTGACATGTGGGATAAGCACAAGCTAAAAAGCTAACATCTCTACATACCCCTTTCACAAACACTAATGTAGACATAAAACAAAGGCCTAGGTTGGAATAAAATCAATTGTATTCTAACAAAGAGCCAGATAATTTTCTAATAATAATAATACTTTATATTTAGACTGCCCTCTCTCCCCAAGGGGACTCAGAGTGGTTTACAAACAAAAAGGTAAACATTCAATGCCATAGTAAAACAAATACACACAGATCAACATAGTACAAAAAACATCAATAAACTTATAACTAAGAAAAAATAGAATTTTAAATACAAATACAAATATTTAAATAATACATGATTACACTAATAAAACATAAAGTAAAAAAACATGTGCCCCGGACAGTTAAACTACTCAAAGCCGTTAAGAGTTAAAATAAGCCATAGGAGCCATAAAGTGTAGATGAAATTATCAGCATTCCTATGAGGTAGATTTAAGAAAGCTGTTAGTCCTCCTTCTCTCCATATGCTATGGTGCATAACTGTGTTTTCAACAGTTTTTTAAAGGAGAGGAGGCTGGGGGCCATTTTTATTTCTCTGGGAAGGGAGTTCCAGAGGCAGGGAGTGATCACTGAGAAGGCCCCCTCTCTCGTTCCCACCAACCTAGCTTGAGACAGGTGGGACCGAGAGCAGGGCCTCCTTGCTGACCACAGTGTGCAAGGTGGTGTATATAGGGAGATGCGGTTATGTGTTACTGACATTATCTGAAACCATTATGCTTAAAAACAATTATTTAATGAAACACACATGTAGGGTCACCATCAACTCTTAAATAGCTTGGACCCGAACCATTTAGAGCTTTAAAGGTAACGACCAGCACTTTGTATTTAGCCCAGAAGCAAATTGGCAGCCAGTGGGGATGCCACAACATGGGAGTGGTTCTCTCCCTGTACGGAGCCCCAGTTAGTAATCTGGAAGCCGACCTCTGAACTAGCTGAAGCTTCCAGACTATCTTCAAAAGCAGCCCCAACATTGTGTTGCAATAGTTCAAATGGGATGTGACTAAGGCATGGACTAACATGGCCAAGTCAGGTGTCTCAAGGTATGGGCGCAGCTGTCACACAAGTTTTAACTGTGCGAAGGCGCTCCTGGCTGCTGCTGACACCTGAGGTTTTAGAGCAGTGGTTCTCAACCTGGGGTCCCCAGATGTTTTTGGCCTTCAACTCCCAGAAATCCTAACAGCTGGTACACTGGCTGGGATTTCTGGGAGTTGTAGGCCAAAAACCCAGGTTGAGAACCACTGTTCTAGAGTCAGTGATGAGTCCAAGATCACCCGCAAACTGAGAACTGTGCCCTCGTCCAGTACAGGCTGTAACCCTTTACCCTGTTCTGCCTTACGACTGACCAGTAATACCCCTGTCTTGTCTGGATTTAGTTTCAGCTTGTTGGCCCTCATCCAGTCTATTACAGGCATCAGTTCAGGACGAGAACAGCATCCTTGGCTTTTGTTGGAAATGAGTGATAGAGTTGGGTGTCGATGTGCACATACGGGCGCCTAAATTTAGACTTTTGACTGAAACATTTAGAAAGACATTGTTTGACTACACCATTTGCAGAAAATAACTTGTTTTAGAGCAGAAATGTTTGAAGCTCTGGCTCTAATACAAAACCTCCAGAAGATTCCCTTTGTCTGCTGGTGCCATCATGTGGAAATATCCAATCACTAGATTACTGGGTGTTGTTGTCACAAGCTTGCTCTTGCAAAGAAAGCCTCTAAAGCCAGGATTTAGTCCCATCATCAGGACTGTGTTTTGTTTTGGGGCTACATTGCCAGAAATCCAGTAAATCCTTCCAAGAGCTCTTTAGCCATGCTGCTTCAGCCAAAACACTAGCAGTATTATAACCGTCTCCAATGAGAACCACCAGCTCTGAGACTGTCTTATCCGCTTTCTGAGATAGCCCATATGTGTTACTGACATTATCTGAAACCATGATGCTTAAAAACAATTATTTAATGAAACACACATGTAGGGTCACCATCAACTCTTAAATAGCAAGATAAACACAGTAATTGTATTTTAAAACTCAATCTCTAAAGCTAAAACATATACTGTCAAATTCTGTTATACATAGGCTAAGCATGTTGCTCATCTGGTTTCTATACAGAAACTATGCATTTAGATTTCCAGGAAGAATGTTATCCCTGAAAAAAGGAAAAGTAGACCGAGATGCTAAATATTCAAAGCTTCCTCCATCTTGTGCAATATTTCTCTCCTTTGAAGTACCTGATTTTTGCAATGTGAAAACTGCCTGTTTGTTTCTAAGCATACAAGCAAAAACTCCATAGTTTTCTTCATCAGTCACATTCACCTCCAAAGTGCTGGAGATAAATATCTCTGTTGCATTGTCATTGAACCTGGGAAGCAATAAAATTTGGGTTAGCATAATGCCAAATTTTATTATTTTAGAAAGGTTATAAAGTCTGAGAAACTCCAGAATATTTCACTGTGTCTTGAACTAAACATGAGATGCTGCTGCGAGAACAGGAAGGAAGGACATGTCAGGGAGTGGGGTTTATGCTCCAACTTGATGTACTTGCACATAGCTATCTTATCTTTAAGTTCATCTATAAATATATTACACATTATAATCTAAAATACTATATTATAAGCACAAATATAAGAGAGATGGATTGCAAAGAACTTCTAACACTGCCATATACTGAACCAAAAGATGGTGCTGAGCCAACTGAAAGAAAAAGAAACAACCTGATCACAAAAGTGCCGTACATCTATGTCAAAAATGTGGAACATGCATCAATTATGTTGGTTCTAGGTATACTTCAAAACAGTCAAAAGAGCAGGTCATTGAATAGTGAAAGGCGCCGTTCTAGAACAATTGCTTAAAGCAGTCCCCAACGTTTTGAATACAGTTGGCCTACATGGAAGGTTTTTTAATTACTCCAGGTATTTGTACAAAACAGCTACTCTTGGGAACATGGATACTTGTTTTCTGTATGTATGTTTGTGAACACGCATGCATGTAGATAGTTGCTTGACAATTGTATACATAGGAAGAAGCACTCCCAATCTCAGTGAGAGGTCTTGACTTCAGGGCAAACCAGCCTGGAGTGCAAGGATTGCACAAGGTTCCTAGAAGATTAAGGAGCCTTAGGAACAGACATGATTGACATTTCTTCTCCCTGGATCACCAAGAATCTCTTGCTGTTTTTGCATCTCTTCTCCAGCCTTCCTCTTGGAAGGAAAAGAGGACAAACAGAGGCCGGAGAAGAGAAATGGTTCTGTTAGCCATCTCTCTCTCACCTTGCTCGCCACTGTCATGCCCATAAGTTTACCAGGACTGAGGAGGAGTTCCTTCCCATTTATATTTTATATCCAAATTTATTTCGGGTTGTCAGCTGCAGATACCAGTACAGCTGTTCTTTGCTTCCCTCACCCTTGCAACATCGAAGATCAGTACTCTTCTGAAACACAATCCATCACTCTCTTGGTTTTTTTCCGTTTTCCTTTCCTATGAGCTTATGTGCACATTTCCAATTTCTCAATTGCAGAAAGCACAACACCAGCCTTACTGGAAAAAGCTAACCCTACTTCACTGGGGCAACCCAATCTTTTTTCTTAGACAATAAATGTAGTACTAAACTGTGTGCTACAGAATTAAATTACTAATCATCAAGATAAGCCCTTCAAGAAAACCAACTGTTATCTTCACAAGACCTTTAGTTGGAAAACATTATTTTTATCTTGGTTTTGTCTCCAGGTTACACAGACAAATTAACTTTCAACTCTGTTTTACATAAAAGCCTTCTTACCAATGTGTAGAAGCAGTCTGGGTCTTGTTGTCTAACCGGTGGCTATCTTTTATCCAGTGTAGGTCAAAGTCACAGTCCTTGCTGAAGGGCAGCTGTACAGTGCAGTTCAGTGTTAACTGACTCCCCAAGGCTCTCTCTAAAGTCTTATTGCTAGAGGGGCTCAGGAACCTGGGAAATACACTGCAAAGATCTGTAGAAAAGACAAGACGTTTTAAATGTAAGGATCGAACTTCCAGTTTTATTCTGCACATCCCTTGTCAAGTGTTTGTATAGGCATGGCTAAATTCCGAACAACTAAGACAACAGTCAAGCCACTTTTGGTCCTGTGACATTTCACTAAGCATCACCCCTTTCCCGTGACAAACTCAATGATCCCTCTTTGTCATCTATCGCTTTGGGCATTACACACTTTTCTGTGCATATTCTAGTGTATAACCCACCCACCCCAGTTACATTAGTTCTGTTGGTTTTATTGAAGAAAAGAAAATATAATTTAGAGGATTTATAATGGAAGAGTCACAAGGTCTGGATTCTCTGGAAAGTATGACTTCTACCACTGTAAAAAAAAAACATGAGAAAGAAAAGGGGACATGGAAACATAACTATAAGCAGCAGTGTTTAATGAGACATGGAATTACATATTAACTTCTGGAGTTCTCCTGGCAATACCTTGTTCAGAGTCCAGCTCTTTCCCCTCAATCTTACTTGTTGTCAGCTCATCCATCCTGGTGAAGTCAGTTACACATTTTCAAAATTCTTTGGTGTGTTTTCTTTTTTTAAAAAAAAAACCCAGCAACTTTTGTCTTCCTATCATGGAAAATAACTAGAGTTTGGAGTCTAAATGTATGTAGACTAAGGGTTTTATGATGCAGAACCCTTTAAGACATGCTGCATTAAATAGTGGGGCATGTCTTTGACAGTTGTCTCTATTTATCCTTTTTGTTCTTTCCTTCAGACAAAAATCAGGCCTCATTAATTCCTAAACTTCATGAGTCAGGAAATAATTTTCATCCTTTCCTTTTAATGCGATTATCTTGTTATACCCAAGAAATGAAGGCAGTTCACATATACTTAGAGATCTGGTGGTTGAAATATTATGGACACTTTCAACAATGCTATAAATTGAGTAGTGAGAGGGACAGAGAAACAAAATTGTAGGGACAGACTCTTTAGAGAACACAGTTAGGAAAGAATCATATTGTGATGATGGCAGAACCTTGATAGCAACTACTCTCAAAGAAATCTTGGAAATTTCTTTTTTGTGTATAACAGTATCCTAGCATTAAAGAATTTCCCAAGGTTTCCTTGTGAGTGAATTTAATTGCTAACAAGGTTCTTCAATCATCACACATATACAAACCTTACTTTTATTCAAAAAACATATTGCAGGGGGGAAACCCCATATCCAAATTTTAGCCAAATTGTGACAACAATCAAGAGATTTTAAAACATTTCAAACATGATCTTAATTTGGGGTGGGGGGGGGAGGGGGAACGGGATGCTTTTAATCAGATATTAAGAAAGCAGCTCCATGCACGCCTGCTCAGAGGAAAGGCACTGTGTTTTGTAATGTTTAGTCTCAGATAAGCAAGTCTTTTTCAGCTAAATGTTTTCCCCAGATCATTATAAGGTGGCCCGTGTTTTTAAGATCATAACAAGGTGCTCCTTTATTTATTTATTTACTTATTTATGATATTTCTACCCTGACTTTCTTGAACCTGAAGGTAACTCAAGGCAGCTTTACAACATAGGCAGCTATTTGATGCCATTAAAACAATGTAAAAATTACAAAAACATGTTTGATGTCTATTCTAAATTAAATTGCCATGCATGATGAAGTACAAATGAAGACATTTACCTGCTTCAACTGTTTTGTGAATCTTTCATTCACAGAAAATATTTTGTAAGTTATCACCTCCCACTTAAATTTGTTTCTGAGTCTGATGATATAGCTATTTTTAACATGATCCACAAGTAATTCTGACATGACAACAAGTGATATATTTGAAGTATAGAAGAACAATTTTCCTTTGTAGTTTTCACCCTCTAGTTAACAACATGCTAGAAATGAATGTTATGGGTAACATGCTAATTTTTTCTCTTCTTTTTTTCTGGGAAGCACTAGCAGGAAAAAAATGCTTGATCCAATATGACCATATTTACACATTTCCTCATCACCACAAAAATTAGCAAAATAAATTGAATAAGAAAGTGTTTTCTTACTACACAAAACCGTGAAGAGGAGAAAGGGAGCAAACCATAGGATATAAGCCTCCAGAAGCACCACTGATCCTATATAGTTTCAGATAAAGACACTAGCTGACTAGAGTTTGAAAATTTAGCCCTTAGATCAAAGAAAAGCTACCCAATGTTTTTGGACTGTAATCCTAATTATCCATAACTACCGGCTACGTTGGCTACAAAAGATGGGAGTTGCAGTCCAACAATGTTTGCAGGGTCAAATCACAGGACTTGATGGACTGGCTCAGATCTTCTAATGCTATCTAACAGTGTGCCTTTTCTAATGAGTATGGTTAGAACTGCCTGCTCTAAAAAAAACAAATACTCTGCCTTTCACAGTTAATATTTCTAAACCATTCTGTGTCTGGTGTGACACTTAAAGACAGCACTAAAAAGACAAGTAATGTGTCTTGAAATGGCATAAGAACTTCTCCTCCTGGATTGGCTGGAAAAGAAGTGTAAGTCAGAATTAGTCTTTGGCTCCAGAGACGTGTTTTTTGGATCTTTTCCCTGTTTCTTGTACTCACCTGCCATGTCCAGATGGACTGTAAAGGAGGCGTTTCTTTGACCATTCAAGTAGAGTGTGCAAGTGTAGTTGCCAGCATCACTGGCATTTGGATTCTCAAAGGTAAGGTATGCAGTTGTGTTCTGCAATGTGCTTTGCAGGTGGCCTAAGGGAACGAAGTGAAGCGGGTGGCAGTCTTTGCTCCACAGGACATCAAACTCAGAGGCAGACTGAAGGAGTTGCAGGCTCTGATTATCCAGTGGGCAGAACAAATGATTAACAGATTTCAACCACGTCCAAACAATGTGGTCATAGAAGTGATCCGGTTCCACGCAGGAAAAGGTAGAGGCTGATGGAAAATGGCAGAGAAATAAGTTAAAAATAAAGCATACCAGTCAAACTGTAACCTCTCTTTTGACACACAATCTTACCATAATTCTGAAGTCAGCGGAACACAGACAACATCCAAAGAGTTCAAATGGTGCAGCAGCAAAACAAGGGCAAAAGAGAGAGATACAGATACCTAACATCCAGGTAAACCAGATAACCTGAACTAAAACTTCACCTATTATTGTCACTTCATCATTGTATAGTTAGTTAAAAGTTAAGTGGCTATGCTATAGATATTCAATAAATCCTTAGATCAAGCCAAGAAATAAATTCTCTTGGCTGCACTACACTTAAGGCATTACCCTGAGGCATTTCTGTAGACACACATAAACTATGCCAGGAGAACATTGAATTGAGGCAAGAATTATACAAAGGGATACAGAAAACCTGCAAACACACAATCAAATAACAGTATTATAAAGAGGAGACGATAAGTTTAGTAGTGCAATGTAATTACTGATCATTCCTTGACACAGAGGGGTTATTACAACTTCAAGTTTAACAGTGCACATAAATACGCCATTCAACTAAATCTAAGTCCATCATCCATTATTAAAAGTTGTAATTAGGGGATGCATATACATAGTGAACAGCCATACTACTAAGTATTATGCATCATAATTAGGTTTATCAACACCCCACAATTATAGTATAGGCAGTCCCCAAGATACAAACATATGATTTACAAAGGTCCATAATTAAGAATAGGAGTAAGACAACAGGAAGTGAGGGAATTTTATTGCTAGGAAGAGAAAATCACTTCTGAAAGAGTTAATATGGGGAGAAGGTGTCTCGACTTAAGCTTTATCACTACAACAAGCCAAATTTTTCAAAATCCAATGATCACAGGGACAGAAAGTGAGATGAAATCTTCTGAACAGGGTTAGCAAAACAAACACCACGGGAGTGTTAACCCTATGCTATCAAAAGTGTGTGTGTGTGTGTAGCTGGAGTTACACTTTAAAAATGTATCTGTTCCAACTTACAAACAAATTCAACTTAAGAGAAAACCTGCAAAACCTACTTGTTCATAACTTGAGGATTACCTGTAGTTTCATTCTGCTGTTGCTATGGCAGTTTCTTATAGAATCTTGGATTTTTAGTATAGTAAGGGATTTAAGACTAGAAAGACCCAATACTATAGTCCAAGGGAGTGCAGGACTGAAGTCTAGATATCCAACAAACTACAAATCCTAGGATTTCTCAGGATCGAGTCAAGACAATTAAAATGTATATACTTACAGTACTTAGTGCAGTACTAAGTACTGTAAGCATGCACTGTAGCTACACCCACAATATCTCTGATAACTACATTGAAGCATTTATCAGGTAAACACTAAAGCGAAGTTCAATTAATTTGTTAACACATCTTGTTAACTTTAAGTGAAATCCAACATGTACTAAAAAGAATGGCTGGCTGCTTATAAGAAGCAGGGGCTGATCCCAGTAACACAAAATACACCAAGATCAGAAATCCCAGGATTGTTTGCTAGAAAGTGGTATGACCACTGAGTTCAATAAGTACTTGGATCTAATTTATCCTACCTGCAGCATGCCCCTGGATATGTTTTATTGCTCATTTTCACACCATCTGAATGCATTCAAAGAGTAATTGACAGAGTAATCCCATGACACAATTTTATTCCATGATTTCTGCCTTCTATTCATACAGAATCACAGAATTGGAAGAGACCACATGGGCCATCCAGTCCAACCCCCTATCATGCAAAAAAGAACAATATAGAATCATATACAGTAATCATAAACTTACTATGGAAGAAATACAAACTGGAACCAAAACAAAAAATGTATCACCATGAGCAACTAATGCAAAATTTTGAACTGTTTCCAGAACTAGGAAATGTTACTATTTTGGAGAAAAACTTCCAGAATATCCCCAACCAGTGATTACATTTTTGGACAATAATTCCTAAAATCCTTCAAGTCAGCATGCACATAATATATCCAAGAAGTAAAGATCTAAGCTCTATTGCCAATACTGTGACTGGGCTGGGTTCTTGGTGATATGTAAATATGCTGCCTCCGTTTCCTGGCCAAACTCCTCTTGACCTGATCAGGGAGAGGCTGCAGGAGGAAGTGTAGCTCTTTTTTGCTTACACAGCACACAAAGGAGCTGTGTATCCCACACCCAACCTCCAGAGCAGGGGCAAATTGATAATTTGTTCAAAATCAGTGGTTTTCAACCTGGGTCTCCAGATGTTTTTGGCCTACAACTCCCAGAAATCCCAGTCAGTTTACCAGCTGTTAGGATTTCTGGGAGTTGAAGGCCAAAAACATCTGGTGACCCCAGGTTGAGAACCTGTTCAAAATGAACAGAAACCTGGTGAAGCTGCAGTTGCATTAAAACACAACTAAGAACTTGCCTCAAAAGTATTAATTCTCAGAAGATTCTTTCCCAAATATTTCAATTTGCAAAGCTAAAGTCAATTCAGAAATGTCTTTTGTGGCAACTGGCCACTCCTTTCTCCATGGTCTAATTCAGCACTATTGTGATCTGTCCTTTTATATAATCAGAGGGCTTTTGCTTTTCATGTTCCTTGCCTATGCTGTAGTTTTGGTACAGAAGTATCAATTAGTTAAGGAACTATTCCAAGACTAAACTGCTGAGCAGGCAGTTATGGGTTTATACCTTGTAAAAATGCAATGCAGTGGACTACATCATTTTTGCCATGAGGACCTTGCGGCTTTAACTGGCCACAAAATACTTCCTGCTCTAGAAGTATTTAGTAATTTTGATAGTGAACATTTCAAAATGCAAGTATGCTCATTTTGTCTCTCAGTATAGATATCTACGATTTTCACTGTGTTCATTTAAAACACCCCAGAGAAGTAAGAGACAAAACCCTGCAGCAGGGAAAATATAAAATAATTGGGGCTGAGAGGGAGAAGTTGATGTAAGAGGAAGAATGCTGCTTTTAGTGTGTTTATGTTTTCCATTTTCATGTCTGGGAAACAGGTTTTAGTATTGACTAAAACACCAATGATGCATATTTGAGCACAGCAGCATGTTTAAAGAATTAGAACAGAGACTTGAGATTAGGGATTTTTCTTTATACCTTGCCCACATGGCTGCTGGTCCTCACTGGAACTTGTAAGAAAAGGCCAACATAGGAAACACAGCTAATGATCTTTGCTTATACATAATTTGAAAAAGATTGCAAGTACATCAAGGCAGTTCTGAAAAAAATGCTTTGAATAATAAAGAGCAGCAGTGACGGTAAGGGCAAACAAGAAAGCCAGTTTTCAGACTATTTTTCTGCTTCTTGGCAGGGGGTTGGACTGGATGGCCCACGAGGTCTCTTCCAACTCTATGATTCTATGTTTAAAAGTCCGAAACAGGGAAGTTTGATGCAATTCTTGGGAATGCGAGCTTCAAAACTATAGGCTAAATTAAGACCCTGACGCTAATATTTGTCAACCTCAACTTGATCAATGGAGAGACAAAGAACAGGGCCACCAAAGCAAACCTTAACATCTATCAAGGAAAATGGTGTTTCAAAAAAGTAATCCCAGAATAGGCAGTGCTTGGAAGTAGTCCATCACTTCAAATTGGGACCAAAAAGAAAAGCAATAGCCAATATTATTGGCAAAAAAATCAGTGTGATATGTGATATCTCCTAGCATCATTTTGAAACAATAGCAGCTGCTAAAAGCATATTATTAGAAATAACATAACAATACTTGAATGCAACTAGTCCAGAAATCTTTATTTTTTAGAGAGAGAGAACGTCTATGATCTGAAGCTAATAAAAAAAAGCAGTTCTAGTCCTCATCTCTCCAACAGCTACAAATAATGCCAGATCCAGAATGCAGTTCAGATCACTTTTTGTATCCATTGAGGTTTGTATCTAGGAACCCTATGGATACCAAATTCTGTGGATGATCGAATTCCAAATATATGCAATGGCACAATCTCAGCCCCTCAGATAAAATGGGGAAAGTATGGTTTTCAATTCGGAATTTTTAAAACAGAATTTTCAAGCCATGGAAGGATGAATCCATGGATAAAGACTTCAAGGATATGGTGGACTGACTGCATTTAACTTTGTGGGTAAAGGCATTTATCTGTTAGAATGGACTGGCAATGCATCTTCAAACAAGTCCAACCAGTTTCTGAAACATACCTTCAAGTAACTATGATTAAGATCAGGGTTCGGGACAACTTATCAAAGTACCTTAAGTGAAAAGATACTGGGGATGTGGAAGGAAAAGTAGGCCTGTATTTTGAAAAAGAACATTCCATTAATTAAGATAGAGACATGGTTCTGTAAACTTATGGGTGAACCCTAGGTGAAGGTAAGTATCGATTAAAAAAATGATTTTTTTTTCCTCACACCAACAACCTTATCATTACACAAAGTCTACTGCAGGCAGTGGAGGCTGAAAGGCAGAGTGAGGTCTGTGGACATTCGTTTGCATCAAGATGCCTTTTGAGCCAGACTTTGGGTGCTCACAATCCATCTGTTCCTTTCGAGTTTGAGCTTGCAAACAACATTACCAAGAGATAAAGGGAAAAAAGACCTCCTGTGGCACCCTGCAGACTAACCAATTTATTTCTACATTACCTTATGCCAAAATAAATCGGTTAGCTTTAATGATGCTACGTGACTCCTTTTTACCTTTCCTTCTCCTAGAACAGCTTTCCCTTTGGAAAAGAAAAAAATGAGCATGCATTTTTGTGACACTGCGAGATGATAAATTGGTTATGCAACTTCATCAAAAGGGCAAAAGAGCCTGGAAGGTAAAATCAATGATTTCCTCTATTGTTTAATTGCCACAATACATTTAAATTAGTGCCTGCTAGCAAAATCCTTCCTTGAAAAAAAATATTATCTTGTTCAAAACTATATTAAAGCACAGTACGTTTTCTGTGGCATTTTCTCTGGTGGGTCCCACAGTCAGGCCTAGTCCATGTAGGTGTTACACAAATGGGTGCCTAACGTAGAACAATTCCATTGCTTCTGTCATAATTTAAGTAAGGAATAGAATCCTGAGATTTGTAGTTTGGTGAGGCAGTGGAGGCTAAAGACTTTGCAAAACAACAAGTCCCATGTAACTGTGATAATTAAAGTGGTGTCAAACTGCATTAATTCTAGTGTAGATTATTTTCATGAGCGTCTGCTTGACAGTTATTGAAGACAGTACTGGAAATAAGCAGTTTTTTTGTTTGAAAGCTGCAAATTTTCTAATTTTTAAAGAACTATACATTTTGAGCCAGAACACTTTTCCAAAAAGAACCTATAACATTTTAAATTCTTAAAAATATTATAGTTTCTAACCGATTTTGGGCAAAGTTCCACGTTCACTCCGTTCATCCAGAGAGGCCCTGCTCGTGATTCCGCCTGCATCGCAGGCGCGCTTGGTGGGGACTCGAGACAGGGCCTTTTCCATGGTGCCCCCCCGACTCTGGAACACCCTCCCAAAAGATCTCAGACAGGCCCCTACATTGGCAGTCTTTAGAAAGAACTTGAAGACCTGGCTGTTCCGATGTGCCTTCCCAGATTAGAAATCTCCAATACCAAGTCCCAGAAGCACTTTAGTAGAACTAAGATCGCTGCACACTGCACCTACCTTATAATCCTACATACCCTCTGCCACATCAGCACTTTTAATCTTGTACCCATTACTCTGGCCCGGCCCAGTTTATAGTATCTTGATGTATTGTTTATTGCTTGTTGTTTAATATTGCTTAACTGTTTTTAATTTGCTTTAGGTGTTGTATTGTTGTGTTGTGTTTTGAGGCCTTGGCCTATGTAAGCCGCATTGAGTCCTTCGGGAGTACAAATAAAGTTTAATAATAATAATAATAATAATAATAATAATAATAATAATAATGTATATTCTCATTACATCCTGGGAACTTTTACTGTTTTATGAAAGTGTGTCCCTCCCACCCCACTGTGGATTTGCAGAAGTAGAACATTTACTCAAGACAAATAGTTTGAAAGATAATTATATTAAGAGAGATAGTACCTGCCCTTTAAAATATTTCAATCCATATTTCCTCATTTGCTCCACCTCTACAATGCGTAAAACCATTATTCATCTAGTCCAGTTTTTAGAAATGAACATCTATGTGATTATTCCTTTGCAGCAAAAGATGCAGCAAACAATTATTGTGAAGTCTTGGATCTGCCTTTCCTTCTCCTATGCTTTAGTTCCACCTGTTTATAAGCCTGCCCAGTAGTTTAGATAACTTCTTTTGGATTAGTTTTTGGATGGAGCTTAAAATCCCCCCAGAGGCCAATCTTAATCGGTCTATTCTTTTTCCTGTATAGAGCTCTCTTGCTAGACTCCTCCTCTTTTCTACAGCTGAGCTACTGTGATTTAGGCTTGGGATTGTCTATTGTAATCATAGGCCCAAGTTATTCAAACAGACATTATTAGCTGCTGCATTTAGCAGTATTTTTATACCATCAGTCCAAAGGACAACAGAAGCTTTTGGCCAGCCTAAGCTTTACAGAAGAGAAGATTAAGACAGTTTGTAAGCAACAACTTATAATCCATTGCTTTGCGCCAGAAGCAAAAGACTTTCAAAGACCCCAGAAAGATGACTGTAACCAGCAAGATCTCCTCTTGTAATGTATTGTTTAAGTTACCTTATGATAGTCCCAGGTGGAGTTAACCTTTTTTTCATCTTGTTTCAGTAAACTCATTTGGTTATCTTTTCACCTTGCCTAAAGTGCCTCTCCGTCAAAGGGTCTTAATCTTAACAGAAGGTATACAGATAGCCCCCGAATAAAGTCAGACAATATAGTTTTCCCAAAGGCTCAGGTGTGCCATCAAAATTATGGAAGATCATGATACTGTAGCAGTCAAGCTGCAGCCTTCAAATTTTTTGATAGAAAGCATGAGACTGATCCACTCCACAATGATAAATGAATTCAGCTCTTTGAAGTGGTTCAACAGACAAAAAGAGGTATTGTATTGACAAAATCAATATTTTTTTCCATAGTCATAGCAAATGTACAAAACCCTGGTATAATGAAAGGGGCACAGAGAGATGAGACTCATTTCAGCTTCCGATTAACCTAGACTGCTTCGGACATTGTAGCGTAGGTGTGCTGGTATCCCAGTCTTGAGAAGTAGCCCGTAATTTCATAAGCAAACACACAATCTTTGAACTGTGCTGAGTGGAAAATTCATTTTCCCTGATAAGCCATATCTTATTCCTATGAGGCAGAAAATGAAATCAGCCATTGTTTGGAAAGGTCGTAACAACCTCTTCAACAACAAGTACAAAACTTACTACATTACTCACTATGGATATTCAAAGGTAAGATACAACTCATAGTGCAGAAAACAAAAAATCACAAAACGGTTAAAATCGTAGCAGCCTATATTTCTGTATTTAAAATTTTCCATCAGGTTTTCCATTTAAAAATTTCCACCCCCCCCCCCCCCCCCGGAAGTGTTTGTGTGCCTCTCAAAGTCCTCCAGTGTAACTCTATGGTATGCTTAGTGAAAATATAGGGTTTTCAATTACCCATTATTTCAACTATCCAGTGTAGGTTTTCTAATGTATCCCTTGCAGATATGGAGATCCTACTGTTCAGGTGAATCTGAATTTACCAAATTCCCATTTTACAACATTTCTCCAGACATAAATAGTTCAGTTTCACACTCAGTGCCCAGGTTTCTCGCCACAGCTGTGTAGGTGTGCAAGAGGAAGTGGATAAAACCTAGGTTAACATTAATGCCGTAATTTGGTAAAGAAGCTAGAAAACGTTTCTGCATATTGATTCTCTTGCTGATCATGAGACTGTATGCAAAGAATGAATGTGGATGAGAACGCACATATCTGACGTACATATTGCATTGTGATACACCCCACAATTCTGTGGTCAATGTCTGATGGAAGTTGGAAGATCTAGAAATGCCTAGGGGGGTTCTACCAGGAAAAAGGTGTCTTTTTTATTTGTGGTTATTACATCAACCCTCTGTGCCTAGAGAAGGTATCTCAGATAAAAAAAATAGTGTTTTCAAAATTGTGGTTATTACACTAAGCCACGTTAAAGTGAAGAGCCTACTGTATATAATACATATTAGAGTAGCTTGCAAACTTTGTGTTTTGTCTGTCTGTCTGTTAAAATTGTAATACAACTATCTGGTTGCTCCTGACACGATAAATAAATAAATAAATAAATAATCATATTCTGTGGCATATGTACATGTACACACTCATGCAAATAACAGTCGTCACTTATTTATTCATTTTAAAGATTTATAATTCAACTTTCCAAAGCTACAAGAAGATACCCCACAAAGGGAACAGGAATACAATACATTAAAAAATTAAAACAAACCAGCAGCGTGACATATAGAAATACAACTGGCCAGGCAGCATATTTAGAATTCAGTCAGTCTGTTATTTATGTTGCTCTGTAAGTCACCACTGCAGCTGATATTATCCTTCTGGCACCCTGAGCACCCAGGAGAGACAGATCTATGCCTATGCCACAACCGAACAACTTCCTGTGTTCCTGGCTTGCATACGCTTTGCATAAGACAATGACAGTGAAACTGGGATGAACTGATCAAAGGAATGCTGGATGTACTTCTGGCCACCTTCTAAAGCTCCATGTAGGCCTAGGACAAACATTATGGAATTGACAAGAAGAAAGAGGACCTTCTTGAACAAACTAAAGTTGACTTTTAAAATGCTTCAAAGGGCAAAGCTCAGCCAATCAAGCACCAATGAACAAATACAAATCTGGTCTCAGAACAAAGGACATTCATTCCTATCTAGAGGAGAGGCTACTGGATCAAGCAATAGGTTCTACAAAACTAGGCAACCTGAGCAAATTATACAGCAGAAGAAAAAACAAGAAACTCAGATTGGGTCCCTTTACTGTGTCAATTCATCACTACACACACACACATATTGAAATCATGGCCCCTTTACTTTAAATCTCACCTTGCAATGCTGCTGTCCCTTCCTGCTCACTCCCCGTGGCAAAGCAGAAAGCCAAGAGCACAAATGGCACAGGCAGAAGGAAAAGGAATTTCACAATCATTTTAGCTTACTTTAGAAGCAGCACCTGCAAACTGGAAAAGAACAGAGAAAAAGTATTTACCTTTCTGGACTTCCCTCTCCAGGTTCAGCCAGGCAACTTCAGAGCCTGAGACTGGCTGTGTCCTTGCTTTGTACTTCCTTATTGTAGCCACATTAAACACATGACTGTCCAATAGACCTGCTTTGCCAGTTCAGTATCCCTCCCCTATGTTCATTTGGTCTCATCCTTTAATCACTTGTTCCCTTCTCCACCTCCAATCACAATCCTGCTGGCCTGCATTAGGGAGGGCCAGTTCTTCTCATCTGCTTATCTTTGCTCCGCCCACCTTTCCACCTGCACACAATGGGGTAATGAAACCTGGACACTGAAACACGCACACACCAATACACACCCAACCTGTTGGCACAGAAAAGCAGGCCAGGACTTTGTTCAGTGAAGAGGTGAGAGGCAGGTTGCTCAAGAGCTCTGTAGCCGGGATGACTGCTGCTCTGTGGCTTTAAGCCAAACAGATATCCTGGCTGTTCTGGAGCTGCTACCATAAGTAAACAAAAATATACATGTGTGTATATGTACCTTCAAATCACTGGTTGGCTTATGGCAATCCAGTGAAATTTATAGTGTTTTCTTAAGTAAGGAATATTCAAAATCAGATGGATTCTGTTACTTTTAGGGTATTTAGGCAAGAACTCACACACTGCTGAGTGCCTTCAAGCATTTCTACCTTAAGACAACCCTATCATGGAGTTTTCACAGCAAAATTTGTTCAGAGGGGGTTTGCCATGAATTTCCTCTGAGGCTGAGAGAGTGTGCCTTACCCAAGGTCACCTAGTGGGAATGAACATATCCTACCATAAATAAGGAAAATATACTAGAGAATTTACTTCTGTGTAGAAGGGTAATGTGAGGTTTCAAAACAACTACAACCACAACAACAATAATAAACTGAACAAGACAAAACTTCAACAACTTCTATATCAGTAGTTCCCAAAATCTGACTCTACAGATATATTTATCTTCAATTCCCAGAATTCCTGAGCATTGGCCATAGTGGCTTGGGGTCTCTGTGAGTTAAAGCAAAAAAGAACTAATACTGTATATCGCTTAATATAAGTAGTTTTACTAAACAAATACAATTACTTTGATCATAAAAACTATAAATGGTGTGAAGATTCTTCTCTTTTGATTGCAAAAGATGTGAGATGCAACTCTGATGATGATATGAGGATGTACAGTCAAGATGTGGGAGAAAATCCATAGAAGGAGGCGAAATTCTCTCATAACAGAGATCCTCTCTAAAATCTAAATGTTAATAGTTTGAAACAGCCACTAAACTTGCTGATCTTGTATTCAAGCATGATTGAAATTGCCACCCCACATAGGTATGCATTTTAAAGTATTTAGCACTCCTTATGAATGGCAGTGTATTAATGGAATCCCTAATCTTTGTGAAATAATCAGCCAGGAAGTTACTGAAGGCTCCAGACATTTGGGCTCCTGTGACCAAAATTCCAAACAACAAACCTGTTGAGGCCAACATGATAAAAAAGGGTTTTTTGTGTCAGAAACGACTTGAAAACTGCAGGTCGCTTCTGGTGTGAGGGAATTGGCCACCTGCAAGGACGTTGCCCAGGGAACACCCAGATGTTTTACCATCCTGTGGGAGGCTTCTCTCATGTCCCTGCATGGAAAGCCGAAGCTGACAGACAGGAGCTCACCCTGTCTCGCAGATCTGAACCGCCAACCTTCAGATCAGCAGTTCAGGCGGCACAAGGGTTTAACCCATTGCGCCACCACGGCTCCTTAATAATAAAAAGTAAAACAACTAGAAATTTGCCGTAGTTGATGACAGCCCAAACACATCACTTGTGACACGTCAAACTGCCTTTCCTAATGATAGGACTTGACCCTGTAAAGAGCTCCACTGCTTCGGAGGAGTAGATTTACAAAGCAGGTGCTCACTATTGGGTTTCCAGACACAGCACTTCCTTTCCTCTCTGTGTCCCTTTGTTCTGTTGCCCTTGCTCTGCTTGGGAGATGGAAGTAAAGTGATAATTTAGATCACACCATAATCCACAGAGACAAAGCATTGCCACCCTCTTTGTATGAGATTCAGTGATTTTCAGAGATTCTATGAACTACTGACCTTGCCACCTAGTTTTTTTAAAAAAAATCTTGTTATTTCTAACTTCCATAGCTCTTTCAGCTTGCAAAGCAATTTACATGTTTAACTGAGTTCATTAATACAAGTTATGATCTGTGGCCATAATCATGCAACAATGCTACTTTGGGAGGTCTCTTGATTCTCCAGACATGAGGATGAGGATGTGGAAAGTGACAGCATGTTCCTCCACCCTGAATATATCTGAATATTACAAGAACCCACACGGAGCATTTTCTCTGTCCTTTGTTGACATATCATCACATTATTCAGAAGATTTTGCTACACAAATGTAATACAGAGGTCACAAAATCTCTTGTACACCCTACTCCATTTCTGCTTTGCAAAGGAGACCATCAGCATAAGATCTGGTTCTTACTCTTAATATCACGATTCTCATTCAGTGTTAGGCATAAAAAGGAGCTACTTAAGAAGCTCATTAACAGATTGATCTGAATAGACAACAAGCATATCTCAAATCAGTGAGATCTCGACCTTAACCTCCAGTATTTCCAATAGCAAAAGATTTCAGGTTGGGAAGCACCCTTAATCTCAGACTAAGTAAAGAGCCATATTCATCTGATCTGTTGGATCTGTAATTGCTTAACTGTGAGAGTTGGAACTAGAATTTGCTGCAGGTGGTATGTCTTCAAACTGCTGCCAGACTTTGTTGTTTGACGAACATTAGAAAACAAAGCCAGCCTTCCAGAAGTACACAGGTTAACTAGTTAGGGTTTTCAGCTGGACCAACGGAAAAACTCCAGGAGAGTGACTTCATTATGACAATTAAATTAGGCTACCTGGAGTAGATGTCTGTAACAGTTTGCTTTCTAGATCTTAATGTCATCTCTGCATCTGCAAGGATTCCTCCACCCTCCTGAGAATATTATACACTTGATTAGTGGACTGAAAGTTAAGCAGTACTGGCTGCACCATTTTTATTGTCTGCATTTTCTCTCTCTTTCTCCTCTCCATCTTTCATCCCTTTTAGTGTTCTTTTTATTTCCCTACCTTTCCATATAGAAAAAATGCTTTCTTTACATATTCCCTTTTGCTACTCTTTCCCATTACTATTATCCTCCTGGAATTGCTCAGCTAGCTTCAGCCTCTACTCCTTCTCTTTCTTGAACAGTAGATGCTAACATGCATCGTAAATTGACTGATTACCCATACAATCTCTTTTACAATAATTCTCCATCCTCACCCCTACTCACAACTTGCTTCTCTTACCACTACCCTTTCCTTGCCAAGAAGAAGAAAGGAGGCGTAATACAAAATGACTACAAATGGAAAAGATTCGATTGTGAAGAAGAACTGCAGGAAAAATCAGAACTTACTGTAATTTCCAGGGGGTAGTAACGGTAAAGGTTTCCCCTGACATTAAGTCTAGTTGTGTCCGACTCTGGGGTGCTGGTGCTCATCTCCATTTCTAAGCCGAAGAGTCGGCATTGTCCGTAGACACCTCCAAGGTCATGGGGCCAGCATGACTGCATGGCGTGCCGTTACCTTCCCGCAGAAGCAGTACCTATTGATCTGCTCACATTTGCATGTTTTCAAACTGCTAGGTTGGCAGAAGCTGGGGCTAACAGCAGGAGCTCACTCTACTCCCTGGATTTGAACTGTCAATCTTTCAGTCAACAAGCTCAGCAACTCAGCAATTTAACCCACTGCACCACCAGGGGGCCCCATTCTTATTCTAAGGGATAACAATGGGGGAAAACCCTATGTTGAATATCATTTTTAATCATGGTGCTGAAAACAGGTGTTGATTGTGCTATGCTCAAGGAAGTAGAAAGAAAACAATACTGTATTTAATTTTCAAAAAGCCTTGTAAGGGACTCAGGCTTACATAGCACAGAATTGTTTGCATAATTCCCTGGGAGGGGCAGACTTGCCACTTGCTGAGTGGAAAAAAAGAAAGAAATGCCACAAGTGTTGTTGTATGTTTTTTCGGGCTATATGGCCATGTTCTAGAGGCATTTTTCGGGCCATATAGCCCAAAAAAAACCTACAACAACGCAGTGATTCTGGCCATGAAACCTTCGACAATACAATGCCACAAGTGTTCTGAAGCACTAAAAGTCTTACAGAGAAATAACTGAAATCCACTAAACCCTGACAAAATTTGTGAGAGACTGTACAGGAGTTACACATTAAAAAAATCAACCCATCTAAATTCTTCACTTAAATAACTCACACTCACCAGTGAAAGAAAACTGAATCCATTACCTTGACAAGGTATGCATGTTAAGCATAAGTGTCCAACTTGCTTCCTCTGCATAATTTATTCTTCAAATCATAAAGAAGAGCAAAGAGCTTAAGTAGGATGCTGAATTTTCATCTGCCTATTCATCAGGGAAATTTACTGAGATATTCGCACTAATGGCCCAAATATGGTCACTGAGCTTTCTTAAATATTAACATATGATATGTGCGGCTTTTGTTTTTTTCAAATCAAAAACAGAGATTCTCATTTTAGAGGCAGCCAGTGCCTTCTCAGCTTCCCACGCTTTTATTGCCAGTTTGAGTATGTTTTATCTGTGACAGAGGTTTTCATCCTGATTTTAATGTATTAGCTTGTTTTATCATCATTGCCCCTAATAACACTGTTCAACGGAGAAAAAGTTGCGGGCCTCAAAATAGTTGTTCTTTTATGATTTTGGGGTGCTGAAAACGAAAATGACATTTAAAAATGTATATTGGCTCTAGTTTTTATGATATAAGCAATCACGTGATCATGTATGGTTGAAAAATGCATGTTTCAACTTACACTATGGAAGATTCTAGAATACTCTAGAAAGTTTGATGACGCAGTATTAGTGCCGTGTGCAAAAGCCAGAAAGCCCTATATAAGGCCAGACTTTTGAACGGTGAGGGTCAGTCA